GAGGGTTCAGCCTTTCCTTTGGGAGAGGGTTCAGCCTTTCCTTTGGGGGCAGCTGCAGCCTGTCCTTGGGGGCAGGTGCAGCCTTTCCTTTGGGGAATTTTGCCTTCTTGCTGGAGGCAGTACCTGAGCTGGTGCATCACCTTGGAGATGAGACCACAGGAGCTGCAGGGCACAGCCTTTCCCAGGCTCACGGGAAGAAGGATGTGGTAATGGGCTGCACTTATTTAGGAGAAAATGATTTCTCAGAGTAAATAAATTGTCAGAGAACGCTTGGCATCACCCCAGGTGCTATTAAGGAAAAAATCTCTTCAAGCCAGAGCTGTAAGGCTCATGCAATATTCACTGGCTTTTAACACGCTGCTCTGCGTTGTTCCACACCAGGCGCTGCCGCCGTGCCCGGCGCTGACTCACTAACCCACTTGTGCTTCTGCTTACCCTGAGATGCCAAACCTCCTGCTGCTTTGCTTCTCCCTGTATATGTATTTCTCATCCTGCCACAAGAGCGCCTTCCTTGTGGATGACAAGTTGACCATGAGCTGGCAGTGTGCTCTTGTGGCTGGGAGGGCCAATGAGATCCTGGGTTTCATCAGGAAGAGCCTTGGAGCAGGGCAGGGAGGGGATCCTGCCCCTCTGCCCAGCCCTGGGCAGGCACATCTGCAGGGCTGGGCCCAGCTCGGGCTCCTCAGTACAAGAAAGACAAGGAGCTACTGGAGAGGGTGATGAGAGGTCTGGAGCAACTCTTATGAGGAGAGACTGTGGGAACTGGGCCTGATTAGTCTAGAGAAGAGAAGACTGAGGGGATCTCCTCCATGCATATAAATATCTCGAAGGTGGATGTCAAGAGGATCGTGCCAGACTCTTCAGTGGTGCCCAGTGACAGGATGAGGAGTAATGGCATAAACTAAAATACAAGAAGTTCACCTCAACAAGAATTTTCCAGGGACAGTGGCAGAGCACTGGAACAGGTGCTCAGGGAGGGCCTGGGGTCTCCCTCTCTGGAGACATTCCAAACCCACCTGGACATGTTCCTGTGTCACCTGCTCCAGGTGACCCTGCCTTGGCAGGGGAGTTGGACTGGATTATGAGGCCCCTTCCAACCCAAATTATTCTGTGATTCCTGCATCCCTTTTCTCATCCCGCTCAGTGTCCAGGTTTTCACTGCTCTGAGTTGGTTGCAAGGCTTCACTTTCCCGTGACTGGTTGGGTTTCCAAGGGATGTGAAGGGTGTGTGGGTGCACTGAGCTCTCCTGCATGCAGAAACACCTCCCTGGGTTGGCAGGCTGTTCCAACACACCCCAACCCCTGTCTGCTCATGCTGACATCCTTGGGGGATTGGGGACACTGCCCTTTCCTCTTGCCCCCCTCGGTGCACTCTTTCCTTTTCTAGTTTCTGGGACACAGAGAACTGTCCTAACAAGGTCTGGAAGAGCCCTCTGGCCCCTCTCTGCCTCATTGCCTCCACGTCTCATTCCAGACTTCATCTGTAAACATTTCTTTGCCCTTGCTAAACACTGTGTCTCTTAATTTCTCTCTGCAAGAGTATTATTTAATTTGTAACTGTTTTAGGACATTATTTGAAAAATCCGATATGAAGCTGTATTTCATTTACTGTAATGATCCACTAATGCGGGCATATTTCAAAGGCAGGCCATGCAGTACTGTGGGATTTAATTAAATTTTGTTTTTCAAGTAAGCATCAATAGACAGACAATAACAAATGGTGGACAATATGCATACACAACAAAGTCACTCCATTTTCTTTTCCAAGACCGTGGAAGTGAAAACACATAGCCCTTAAAATGGACTTGGCCCACTCACAACTGTTGCAGTTAACTCACTTTAGGAGGAGTTTTTTCTTCTTACTTTGACTAAATTAATTTCCTTGCTCTCTTCCTGCCCACAGAATAAACTGTTACACTGTGGAAAGTTTCCAGAAGGAGCTGTGGGTGCTCAAAGTGCTGCTGCAAGCCCTGGACACAGAATATCGTGTTGTTGGGTAGCGTGTGATAGCTTGTCCAGAAGGGCCCTTATCAGGGTGACAGAATAGAGGGGCTGGGTGTGAGGTCCTTGTTCTGTCTCTGGTGACTGGACAGGGAAGGAAACATGGTGTTGCTGCATCCAGCATTGTTGTACCCAGATCAGGAATCACCAAGTGGCTCTTGAGTGCATTTCATTTCTTTTCTTCCAGCGAGTGTGGGGTAATCAAGTACACAATAGATGCGGAGAAGCTCGGGAAGCCTGTTCCAGGTCAGCAGGAGGCTGCTGGGAATCATCATGGGACTCACAGCTGGCACTTGTCCATGTGCTCTGGGGTAAAGGAATTCACAGGTGACACTGTAAATGGGCTCCTTTGTTCAGGCTTGAGGAGGGGGCGAGATCATAGAATCATAGAATCAACTGGGTTAGAAAAGACCTCTGAGATCATCAAGTCCAACCCTTGATCCAACCCCACCGTGCTTCCCAGCCCATGGCACTGATGCCACATCCATCCTCGCCTTCAACACCTCCAGGGGTGGAGAATCCACTCCCTCCCTGGACAGCCCATTCCAATGGCTGATCGCTCTCTCTGTAAAGAATTTCTTCTTAATATCCAACCTAACCCTCCCCTGGCACAGCTGAAGACCCAGCCCTCTTGTCCTACTGCTGGTTCCTGGGAGAAGAGCCCGACCCCCACCTGGCTACAGCCTCCTGTCAGGGAGTTGTAGAGAGTGAGGAGGTCTCCCCTGGGCCTCCTTCATGATGAACAACCTCAGCTCCCTCAGCCTCTCCTCCTAGGAACTGTGCTTGAGATGGCTCAGTTCTGCCTGGCTCTGGTGTCTGAGGTGGGTTTGGTTCTTTCCAAGTGTCTGGAGAATTTGCTGTTGTTTAGAAAGAGAACCAGAACTTGCTGAGGGAGTCAGTGCGGGTGCCCTGGACTCCCACAGCGCTACAGCTCTTTGATTCTCTGTGAAATATCTCTGAGTCAGAGAGCTGAAAAAAGCATAAATTTTTCAGAGGAAGAGCCTCCGTTCAGAGATGTGAGTTAAGCCGTGGCCTGGGTTGATGGCTAAAGCTTTGCCTGCTTAACCTGCCTGCAGAGGGATCCCGGGCTGGGGGTGAGGGCTCTGCCTGGGGCTGGCACTGAGCCGGGCTGGGTCACTGTCCACAGGGCTTCAGGGTGGAAATGGAGCATGGAAACCTGGGAATCTGGGAGACCCTGGCTCCCGACTGTAAGTTCATGAAAAGCATCGCTGTCAGTGACAGACCTGTGTCTGCTCACCCCCCACTCCTCCTCGGGATCTCGGTGTAACACTTCCCGCACTCCAGGAACAGCCTGTGTTGTGCTCCTCGCTGGAAGCAGCCCCGCCAGTCCTTTCCAGCTCTCCCGGTGCCTGGCTGAGGGGGTGTGCTGTGCCGGTGGGAGGGTCCTAGGGAGGAAGAATCCTGCCCAAGGAAGGCTGGCACGATGGGGTCCTGTGCTCACTGCCTGTGGCTGGAGAGGAGTCCTGGTACAGATAAAAGGGTCTCTAAATAAAACTTGTCATTAGGCATCAGATGTTCTTTAATTAAACTGGATAAACCCACACACAGCTGAGGTTTGTGCTGGTACTGCTCGTGCCAAGGGGAATGCCCTGTGCCTGATTTTGTTCTTCCCTTGTTCCTTGCTTTAGGCTGCCAGATTTCTCATTTTTTCACTCCTTTTTGTTGCTATGTAGTGTCACTCGAGGCTCTGTTGCTGAGTTTTGGGACACACAGTTGCTTTTTGGTGACTTAAAGCAATGTCTCCTGTTTCTGCTGTCCCTTCTTTGGATCTTCTGCCTTTTTTCCCAGCCACTCTTGCTTTGCCATAAGCAAAAGCATCCAGAAACCTCAGGCCTCTTGCAGACTCATTTTCCTGGGACCATTACTCATCTTCTGTGGAAAAAGCAATTTTTCTGTCTGTGGCAGGGCTCAGGTGGCTGCTCCCAGATGGAGCACACTGGAACATCTGGAGCCAGTGGCTGAGCTGTGGGCTGAGAGATGTGCCCTCAGTGCAGACCAGTGAGTGCTTGAGCCTGGTCTTTGCGGGAGCAGGTGAATGGTTTGTGTTCCCCACAGTACTGTTGGCATGATTAACCCTTGCAGATGTGCCCAGAGCAGTTTTAGGGGCTCGTTCTCCTGCCCAGCAGGATCACAGAGAGAAGGACATTCCAGGCTCTGTGCTTTAATGGTTCTTGCAGGACTGTGCAGCGAGGAGGGTGACTGCGAGAGACCTTGACACGAGGTCTGGAACGGCACAAGTCCAGGGCATGGGAAACTGCAATAGTGCTCAGGAATGAACAAAAAAAAGGCTCTATGACTATTTAAAAGGAAAAATTAGTAGTCTGTAATTCAATTTTGAGGGAATTCACTTGTGAGAGAGCACATGCTGGCTGGGAGGGGAGGACAGTTTGCTCAGATGGGTGATAATCCATCGCAGCATATTCCCGCACTGAGGCTCTTTGACAGGCATTAACCTTCCTCAGGCCTCCCGAGGATGAGTGAGGAGCTGTGCCACTGGATGAGGAGTTTCTGGACTATGTGGGGCTTCAGCCCAGGGTGATAATTCAAACACCAAATTCTTGTTAGTCATGGCTGGTGCTGGTGGCTGCCCCACGTGGGAGCGCTGCGTGGGACTGTGTGCTGCCGTGCTTCACAGGGAGGAGTGTGCTGGGCTCCGGGAGCGCTTGGGTCTGACACCGGCCGGCTCGCTTTCTTGGATTTCTCCTTTGGAGTTTGGCAGCCATCTGCTTCAGGGAGTACAGTGGCCTCATAAGAGTTTATTTGATCTGACACATGACAAATTGTTTCTGCTGGCGGCTACTGGAGGCACAGTGTGTTTGCTGGCAGCTGCGGCTCTGCGGGCACTGGGAAGTTGAGGAAGGCAGGCCTGCCCTCCTCCTCCCTTAGGAGACATCGGTGGAGGGAGCGTGTCTTTAACCCCCCTCCCATTCCAACCTCCCCTTTGCTGTTGTTAATGTGTGCTGTTTGCATAGATTATTCATGTTTGTGTGCTGGCTGTTGCTGCAGGTGCTGGCTGTGGCTCCTGTTGTGGGTTGGAGTGTGGAGCAGAGGAGAGCCTGTGTTCTGGAACAGGACCCAGGTGCCATTAAAGACCCTTTGTTAAGTTGCCTTTTTTGGGGCACCCTTTTAACTCTGCAATGAGGAGTGGAAGATTACATTTCTCAGCAGAATAAAAAGTACACGTTCCCTGTGAGATACTGTAAATGCATTTTATCTCTTCTATTACCTGCAGTTTCAAGACTATGTCCCCTAAGCATTTTAATCTTGTTTTCCAGAGTTGTCTCAGGGTGAGGAATCACTCCTATTTGCAACTTTGGGAATGATTACCTGTTCATTAATTTCTTCTCTTTCCTGCTGTCCATCTGTTATTGCTTCCAAGAGAAAAAAGCTCTCTGTAAATCTCCCCTGGAACAGGGCTGAGAACTTCATTAGACGGAGAGTTATGTGCGCTGGGGACGTGTTTGTGAGGGAGGATCCTGTGGCTGTGCTCGTGGACAGACCCACGGCGTGCCCTGGCTCCTCTGGCGCTGTCCCAGTGCCCTTGGCCACGCAGAGCCCACCCGGTGCCCAGCCTGGCTCACAGCTCCCTGCCCTGAGATGAAGCGAGCACGGCAGGAGCACATGTCAGGGCACACCTGGAGCAGTGTGCTGAGGCAGAGGCTGAGGGTCAGGGCAGCTCAAGCACCCGAGCAGTGCTTTGCCTCCTGACGTGCTTTGCCTGCAGTGCCAGGCTGCTGTTATGAAACAGGAACGGGACGGGACAATGTGGAGCAGTTCCTGCTGCCCTGCTTTTGTCCAGCAGCTAAAAGCCAGTTCAGGGGTTTTTGTGGAAGTGCTGTTTGCTTTGGTCTTTTTTTGCTTGCTCTTTAAGTACAGAGTTGAAAGAGCTGGAGACTGCAGGCCACTGTAATTATTATTTCTTCCTGAATAGCAGAATAAATGTGCCATTTATTGCATAAATGACAGGGTCCTTGCCTTGGGAAACATATGCAGCCTGTTCCCACTGCTGGCAGCCCTTCGACATGTGAGTAACTGCCCCTGCCCAGTTCTGGGTGCAGGGAGATTTCTCACTCCCTGGTTGGGGTCAGTGCCAAAACTTGTCTGTACATGTGACGTGTGTGGTCACTGGAAGTCACTGGGGATGCTGTCACTGAAACAGCCTGGATTCACAGGGCAGCTGCATTTAGATGGCACCTGATGGAGAAGCTGTAGAATAGTTTGGGATAAAATCTGCATGCAGGAGGGGACAGCTGAAGTCTGTGGTTGTTGTGGCCACTCTGAACAGACGTGGCCTGGCAGTCCTGGCATGGATGTGCCATGTCCCCACCTGCTGTGGCACCACTAGGATGCAGAAGCAGCTGCTCAGGGTGTTCTTCTGTCTCATGGCAGAGAGGAAGGTGCTGCAGGTGCATCTTTGATCAGAGCTGAGAGTGTTGTGGCTGCCAGCTCTGCCAGCAGGCAGGGAGCATTCGTGTCCTTGACTTTGCCAGTAGCCTTACAGCAAAGGCCAAGAAATGGAGAGTGAAATCCCTGTGTCCTTTGGCTGCTGTGTTGGGTGTCACGGTGTCTGCAGAGACAGCAGATGCAGCGACAGCCAGGACTGCCAAAGGAAGGACCCTTCGTGGACTGGTGCTGCTCAGCTACTGAGATGTCAGTCCATGAAATGGCTCTTTATAGGGTGTTCTCACCAAAAGGATGTTCCCTTTGAGTGTCTGATCTCCTGCTGTTGATCTGAGCTCCAGATGAGAAACAGTGCAGAGATGAGAAGGTGCAGAGGTTGCAAACACATTCATTGGCCCTTGGAAGGGAAAACTGTGGAGGAAACCCACTCAGTTCTGGTCATGTCTCTGTTGTCCTCCTTCCCCAGTGCAGGTTTTGGGCTGCTGTGGCTGAGGGACAATGGGATGGAGCCAAGGTACTGCTGCTGAGTGAACCCCATGTCTCTGGGGAGCAGGGAGCACGGTCCTGGAGCTCAGGAGGGACCTGTGGCCTGGGAGCTTTACTATTACTACTTTACTACTGCTTTAGTTCTCTCTCGATGACCCTTCACTGTGCACACCTGCATGGCCCAGCCTTGCAGCTCAAATAGCTGTAGCTGAGCAGTTGCTGGAGCCTTCCCAGTGCAGAGGAGCCATGTGGACCCCACAGCCCTCGAGTGCAGTGGCTTGTGTGACTCTGGCACATGCAGGGTCCTGTGCTGGCAAAGGCATTCACAGAACTACTGTTTCACAACTCTGTTGGGATCCAGGGGAGGTTCAGAGGCAGGTTCTTCACTTTGTCACCGTGTTACAGCGATTTAAGGCTGAGGAGCTCTTTGAAGCACCAATGCAGCTTGTTCTGCCGTGACAAGGTGGATGTGAACGCCGGTGTGACTTCCATTCCCCAAGGAAAATGCCCTTTTGCACAGATCACAAGCCGTGGCTTTGCTGCTGTTTGAAGAGACCAGAGGAATCTCAGAGCCAGGCACTTTGTGCCACATCAAAGCCTTCCTGTCTGAAGCAGAGGTGCTGAGGAGCTCCAGCTCCATGTCCTTCATGTCTGGGCAGCAAAAGGAAAGAAGGTCCCTGAATCGGGAGTCACTTGGGGGATCAAAGCTCAGCTTAGCAGAGGCTGATGAGGCAAAAAGCAGGATGGCAACAGGTAGGACACAAATCTTGTGGATCATCTGGGCCATCTGATAACAGCAGTCAGGCCTCCAGAGGGACCTGTGAGGCCTTCTCTACTGGAGGAGTGGGGCTGGCACCTGCCCCAGAGGAGGCAGATGGGCAGTGTCCTTCACTTGGCTGGAGTAATTCCGTGGTGCCTGAGGGATTGTTTAATAAGGATGGTGCACCCTAACATTTCAAAGTGTTTTTTTCCATGCAGTGCTACAAGTAACATATAAATAGCTCTAAAAGGCAACAAATCATTCCTCAAAGTAGAGGTGGCAGATGACGAACAACAGGAGAGGGAAGGAATTGTGTTTGCTTTCAGCTTTCTACCTCTGTGCATTTACTTCTGTATTTGTAGCCCTTGGAGCTCTTTTTATTTTAAATTTCCTTAGGAAAATCCCTGCTGAAGGCATGCTGCCTGCTGTGACTGGCTGTTCTGCTTTGGCTTCAGCCTGGGGAGGTGCTGATAACTGGGGAACAGGACTCGCTTTTCAGTCTTGGTGGGAAATGCCTGGGTACAGGAATGGAAACCACCATGTGTGTCAGTTCTAGATGATGGCAGTGGCAGTCTCTCAGCTCTCCCTTTGTGCTCATTCCTGTCCCAGGGCTAATTTAATTGCTGAACAAAGGGGTCCTCTGAGACCACTGTGAAGGCACTAATGCAGTGAAAAAAATAAGCAAACTTGGATTAAGCCTTTCATCCAAGCACAGAAAGACAGTGATGGAGACCTCAGTG